ATCCAGCAAACTGCCATTAAAATAGATGGAGAAATAAAGTATTGTCATGAAAAAAGATCAGTTCAAAAGATAAATGCTTATAAATGATCAAGGAACATATGAAAAAATATTCAGCATCTCTGGACACTAGAAAGTGCAAATAAAAATAATATTATGATTTCATCTTACTCCTGAAAGAATGGCAATCATTAAGAAATCAATCAATAACAAATGCTGGTGTGGCTATTGTGAAAAAGGAGCCCTCTTCATGCTACAACCATTACTTAAATCAGTATGGACATTTCTCAAAGAACTGAAATTAGATATTCTATATGACTCAAATGTTTTCCTTTTAGGTATCTTCTCCCAAAGATTTTAAGTCATTATACTACAGAGATACATACACATTAATGTTAACAGAAGCACACATTTGTAATAACTAAATGCTTCAGTCAGGCTGTATACAATGAACAGACACTAGCATAAAGAAAATGTGGTAACTATATATAATGGAATACTACTCAGCTATACAGAATGACAAATTTGACTCTTTTGCAGGAAAATGGATGCACCTGGAAAATAGAATAAAAATAAATCAGACATTCAAGCTTAAATACGACACGGCATCTTTCATTTGAATGAGGCAAAATACAAAGAAAATGAAAAAGGATGGACAGAAGGGGAAAACGGGTGGATCATATGGAAGTGGTCCAAGGGAACAAGGGAAAGGAGTAGGGGTGGGCTGGGAAACAGGTAAATAAGAATATGCCATGTCCAGGAACTTATTAACCTTCATTAATGTAAACATTATATGCCATAACATGAGCTAAGATTAACAATATCAATAATAATGGAAAATGGAATAGGGGAACTAGAGGAACATGGAGGAGTGGGAGGAAAGGGGACTTCTTAAATAGGAAACAAACTTTAGTAAGTACACATGACCACTCCTCAAGACTATTGTAAACTGTATGAACTGTATACAAATTTTTAAATGACCACATGGTTAAATTAAAACCAAACTTTCCCGAAGGTACAGCTTCTTAAATTTGTTAGTAGTTTTTTGTTTCAAGTATTTTTTTTTGTACCAGGAAATTAAACTCAGCACCTTGTACTTGCCAGGCAGGCACTTAAGCTTCTGAGCTATGTTCCCAGCCCCTCAAATAAAATTTATTAATACTGTGAGCAACAGATTAAATTCACTTCACATTCTAATAATGGGCAATGATCTTATGTTTTCAAAATTATACTGCTAGCAAAGGAAAGTTTCAGAGGTGGTTGTGGAAAAACAGAACACCTGTGCTTTAGGAAGGTAGTGCTGACAAAACTGTGGTTGGCTTTAAAGGTATAAGGGTGATAAGAAATGAAGAAGTAACTCTACAGGTAGAAATGGATATATAGTATAAATACTATCTCAGTTTCTCTTCTCTCATTGCTGGGACAAATACCTAACACTCAAGATGAAGGAAGGAGGGCTGGGAAGATAGCTCAGTAGAATTAGAATAAGTGCTTGCCTGGCAAGCGCAGGGTCATGAATTCAATCCTTGTTAACGCAAAACAAAAAGAAAATGAAGGAAGGAAAGATTTATTTAGCTCACAGTTACTGGAGGTTTCGGTCCATACTTAGCAGGGTCTAAGGCAGAGTGGCACATGACAGAGGGCAACCTTTCATTGTGATGGCAAAGAGCAGAGAGCAAAGGGGAGGAGTAGCAGCAAGAATGGCAACAGAGAGGAAGTCTGTCTCCCTTATACTGCATTCAGGCTATCTGCCCCAGGCTTGGTGTAGCACTCACACCCATAATCCCAGCAATACTAACACACACAATCCCAGTGGATCATGAGTTAATCACAAACTCTAGAAGTCCCTGCCCTATGACTGCATGAGGCTTTGGGGGTATGGCTAAACACAAACCATAACAAATACCCATACTTGTATAATGTAGGACTGCAATGGGGCAGTGGCTATGGAGGTGGTGAATGCTGCAAGAATTTTAGCATAACATTGGATACAGCAACAGTAAGGTTTGCTGTGTGATTAGAGGAGGCCTAGAAAACAGAAAAAGGAGTCAATTTTGGCTTTCACATTTGAGTCTCAGGTAAATTTGCAAAGAACTATGACATTAAACTAGACTTTAGGTGGAGAAGTTTGATTGCAGTGGGGAGACATGAGGACATAAATCTTGGCCATTCTGAGCTTCATCTGTGAAACACTTCAGGTCACCAAGCCCAGTAGGCTGTGAGATGTAGGGAATTGGATGAAGCTTGGAAAAGGATGGTATAGAGAAAAGGAATTTTGCAAGATGATATTTAAAGCCATGGAGTATGGGGTTTTCTCCAGAAGAATATGGTGAGCAAGAATAATGACAGAAAGAAGCTCCAGGGTTAAACCATACATATAGGACGATATTCTTAATGGCACATACACTTCGTTTTTAAAATGTATTTAGTGCTCGCTTTGGCAGCACATATACTAAAATTGGAGCCATACAGAGAAGATTAGCATGGACCCTGCTCAAGGATGACACACAAATTCGTGAAGCGTTCCATGTTTTTCTGACATTGCCAGTGAAGCGGAAGACCCGATACTATTATGGACTACTGAACTCCTTTAGATTATTTTGCTGAGTTAACACACCTATACTATTCAAATAACAGAACTTAACAAAAAAAGGGGGGGATACAGATGAATGTCCATTTTGCATCTGCGTATTCAAAGTGGTTAGGATAGATATATAGTTACATTCTCTATGAATAGAGGGATTTGTTCTAATGGTGTTTGTAGATAGGATATCATGTCCGCATCTTGTACAACAATTAACCACTGGGAGGAATGTATGCAATGTGTTAATTTTGAAACTGTCCTACCAATTTGATTTGAAACTGTCTCTTTGCTATTTGTTTATCAATAAAATTATGGAAAAAAATAAAATAAAATAAAATGTATTTAGTACAGGATCTACAGGGTACTACACAGATCAGACTCATAGTGATTCAGCCTCCCAAGCACTGGGATTACAGACATGCGCCATCACGCCGTTTCAATTGCCGTCTCAAGTGAGTCTTTGTTTTTCAAATGACAAAGACTTGTGCTGTATGGATACATGTTCATCTGTGCATAGATGTCCACAATATGCATATGTGAATGGCATGAGCATGTTGAAGTAATATTGATATACACATTGGGAACTAGGGAAAGACTCTAGTTTGTTAGAGTTGCTATATTCGCTTTCTTGGTTTCATTATTGCTCTCCTCTCTTTTTCTTCTTTTCTAACTCCCCTCTTTTTTAATTCTTTTCTTTCTTCTTCCACGTACTGACATACTTCTTCACCATCACTTCAAATATCACACAATAAATAAACTGAGAAAATAGTGTGGGATTTGGAGGCTGACGTCTGAAGCACAATGTTTAAGTATGTTTGGGATTAGTTAGGCTGGACACACTACAAAGTCAGAAGAAGAAAGTGGGCTATGATAAAAGAATCCAATCCTGGTTTTCTCCAGTGTAAATTCTTCCAGTGATGTTTGTGAATCAAGGTATGAACGTGTATGTCGCTGGGCCTTGTATCAGGATGTGTGTAGGCTGTTAGCTTAGTTTTATGAAATGATAATGCCATCATCCTTACTACTTCAGCCCCCCCATGACATTTGTAGCAGAAATAGGTTGCTCCACCTACAATTTTAAGATATTTATGATACCAATAATTATAATTTTGAGGAGCTGAAGAACTGTGAATAATGGTCAATTAGACTATCAGCATTTAGCTGGGCATGGTGGCATAGGCCTGGATTCCCAACACTTAGGAGGGTAAGGCACGAGAATTCCCATATGTTAGAGGCCAGTCTGGGCTATATAAGTGAGTTCAAGGTCAGCCTGCACTACACAGTGCAACTATCTCAAAACAAACAAACAAACAACAACAAATAAGACTATGGCATTTGTAAGGGCATTTAGTGATATTAAAATACATGTGTCATGTGAATAGGATATATTCTTTATTTCCTAGGTTTTTCATCATGGATAAGTTGCCTAACCTCTAAATCTATATCCTTATCTGAAAAATGTCTATAGTAGTTTCAACTATGAATTACCATTGGCAAGGGTGAAGATTAAGAGAGGCAAGAGGTTTTAAACTAGTAGGTGCTCAACAAATATTAATTTCTTTCTCCAGTTACTTTTAACCCCTCCCTTTCTCTTCTATTTCCACTGTGTCTTTACCTGTCCTTATATAAATATCAATGTAACACTTTATCCACTTTACATTCTTATATCAGGTAATTTAACCCTTGTACATCACAGTTCAATTATCAAAAGGAAGCTTAAGTCACTTTTCAAAAACATTCATTTCGAATTGTTACGTTTTCTTGATTGAGTCTTTTTTATTGTGTAATGTACCTCTCTGTCCCTGGGGACTGTTTTAATCCTGAAGCTTGATTAATTTGATAAAACTAATAGAATAGCCACTTCTGCTTTGCTTTAGCACTGCATAACACCTTTTAGAAGGATATAGTTGAAGTATATAATTGTATTGTTATTTAATCCACTCTGCCAATTTCTCTTCTAACTGGTGCATTCACATTGCTTATACTTTACTTACTTATTGATATGCTAAAACTAAATCTAACTTTTATGGATAACTTTCACTTGTTATACTATATTTTGTCTTTTTTCAGTTTCTCTGTTTTCCATGCACTGTCTTCCCTGAGTGCACTGAATTTTTTTTAAGAATTCCACTTTGGCATATATTTAATATTTTTGAGTTCACCTCTGCATACCTTTAAGCATTTGCTTTCATTACTACATTATCTATGCAAAATGTATCACTGTCTTATGGCATCATCATTTTTTCAGCTTTAGGGAAAGATAGAAACTATCCCTCCCTCTTACATAACTTTACACTCCATCATTTGAAAAATATCATAAATACTTCCGCTATATACATTGAGATTATATTAGATATTATAAAATTTCCTTCATCCGTCCAACATAATTAATAAGACTTAAAAGGAAATAAAAACCTACCATATTTACCAATGTTTGTGCTTATTGTGACTGTTCTTTCCTAAAGTTCCAAGGTTCCTTCTTTTTTCTTTTCTATTTTAAGAATTTATTTCATCATTCTTTCAGAATGGATCCACTGACATTCTCTTAGTTTTCATTCATCTAAGAATATCTTGGTTATTCTTTCAATCTTGAAAGATAATATTGCTGAACATGAAATTTTGGATTAATAGTTGTTTTCCTCCACTTGAAAAATGTACACTTCCTGCTAGGGTCTTGTCATTTTTTTGTTCAGAAATTTGACATTCTAATTTTTCTCTTTTGTAGTTATCAGTTAGGTCTTACTTCTATTTGGTTGCTTTCCCTTCAAGAATGTTGACTTTTTGTTGCTTTTGCTGGTGTTTCCTCAGCTTCATGGATCAGTTCTTCACTGAATTGGGGAGTTTTGTCATTATTTTTTCAAGTTCTTTTGTATTCCTGTCCTTCTTATCCTGCGAATCTGTTGGCATGAATGTTAAAGTTTTTGTAATAGTCGCAAAGTGATTTCTACTGATCTATATTTAAGTTGTCTGATTTTCATTCCTTTCTTCACCTTGCTATTGAGCCAATCTTTGGAGGTTTTAGGGAGGAAGTTTTGTGCTTTTCATATATAATTTCCACTGAATTTTTATTTTGTTGTTGCTTTGAGACTTTCTATTTACTTGCTGTTACTTTCTTTCTTAACATTTGTTTCAAGTATGTTTTAATTATAAACTGAAGCATTTTTATGACTATTTTAAAGCCCTTGTCAGATAATTCTAATGTCTGTGCCATGTCAGTATTAGCATTTGCATATTTTCTTTTTTTATTCAAGTTGATATCTTGGTAGAGTGTTTTTATTTTTTTCATTAAAAGTTGAAGACCAGATCTTACTTAAATTTGTTCTATCAGACCTCCTCCTAGGTTGAAGTGGGGTAGAATTTCAGTTTTTCTGCTGAGTCTGTCTTGATATTCAGGTTGCAAGGTCTTTATTATTGCTGATTAGGGATGAGTATTCATCCTTCTCTCTAAACCTTTACTGATGCCTCCCTAGCTAGCTGGGGTAGAAACTGCTGGTTACCACTGGGGAGGGCAGAAGTTTGGCTCCCCAGGTGTTTTGCACCGGGAGAGGTATATTACTATTTGGTTTGAACTTCCTTGCTCTCACATTTCTCGTCTGGGAATGATAGGCTTCCTCTAAAGCCCAAGAGGAGAGAAGTCTTACAGGCTTGAACTTCATATTAACTGCATTTGCATGACATTCTCCTACAGCAGGATGTCTCACTTCCTATCTCTTAACGTTCTTGTAGGGAAAAGCCTGCATTAGGATCTACACACACACACACACACACACACACACACACACACACACACATCCCTTCCCAGGTCTTCTATGGGAGGCAGTGACAAGGCAGGGCCTCCATAACCAGACTGACTAGGTTCCTGTCAAAAGTGATATTTTCAAATTGGGTGGCTCTGGGCAACTTATTTAAATTATTTGAGTCTCCATTTTCCCAACTGTAAAGGAAAAATAGCAAAGTCACAGGACTCTTGCAGAAACAAGTAAAAGTAGATCAGAAGTTATCATCTTTTACCTCTTCTGCAGAAGGAAAAACAACCCCTTCAGAGGAAAATATGTAGGTCCTTCCCCACCATATCACGTGTACTCAGACACTCCAGGAGTTAAATCTCCTGTCAAATATGTCACAGTTAAATCTTATGCACTTATTTGCTAAACACACTTACTATCCCCCTTGTCGTTCCCCAAGATTTCTAGAGAACACTCCACAGGAACAAGGAAACATTTCAACTCAAGCCAGCCTGAGAAAGAGAGTGGGAGGAGGGAAAGGAAGACCTACCTACCCACCTAATCAGCCCTCTATACTCTGAGCAAAGACATTAGTATTTTCAAAAGCTATGCTGAGGGTAGTGTGGTAGACTGGCAATTCCCACTTTGCAAGTCTGTCTGTCATCTTCAACTCCTCAGAGCTGCTGTCTCGAATCTATCATCGACGCAACTACTACAGTGTCAGTTTTCACAGCTCCCTTCCCCCGTTCATCCCACCCCCCAGAGCATTCAAGCACGAGTGGAAAAAAATTGCAAGTTGGTAGAAAGAAAATGAGCACACGACATCCTCCTAGCCCATGTTCTCTGTGAATCCTCTGCAGACCCCGCCCTGCAGCGAAAGGCACCCTCTAACATCCCGAACACACTAGACTTTACTCTCACAAGGCTTTCTTAAGCTTCAGATCCTCAGGTTGAAGCGGAGACCGGGAGGGAGGCAGAGGGGGATGGAGTGGGTTTCGACTCTTAAAGAAGACGACTTGGAATTAACAAGTGCTTTGAAAACATGCATCTAGGAATCCCGAGCCTTATCCCTGTTTATTGGAGACAGTCAGTCCCTGTGTCTCCTTTTTTTCTCTCAGTCAAATCCAGCAAAATATCTCTCACGACCTCTGTTGCTCTCTCTTCTGCTTTCCCTGTTTTCCTCCCTCCTCGCAATTTTGAGTTTCCTTAGCTTTCCCCAAACCTAATCTAATGTAAGGTCTGTGGTGAAGCAGCCCCTTTCCTACTCCCCTTGCAAGTTGCTCAACAATAGATAGGTAACAGCCTTCTTCAGCAAGGGATTTTAGGAGACTCAAGGAGGGCTGGGGTATGCTACAACATGCCACATACCTGATCTCTTTAATGCTTTCCAGTTTGCACATGATTTCTTGCTCATCTGCCATGCTTTCACCCTCTTATTTCTTGTCTGGAGCAAAGCACAGAAATACACCGGTCCAGGGATACAATAGATACAATGTAGCCACCTCCCAGCTTCGGGCTCTGAGTCTGTGCAGTAGGGACTTAGAGAAGGTCTGGGAGATGTAGTCTACAGCTCCGGGGCTAGCTGGCAGCCTGAGGGCCTATAGGACTACAACTCCCAGAAGGCCAAGTGAGACATGCTTGTTTCTTTTCCTGCAGCGTATTTTAAATTAATTTATCAAAGGTTGTGAGGAATGCCAGAGGATGTGGATGTCCTGGGACCTATGTGTGGAAAAATGGGAGAAAAAAATTTTTTTTCAGAAGGCAACTAAAGAGATGAGAGGCATACACATGAACCATTTCGGGGTGGGAGTGGGGCCTCTTGCCCAAAATGTTGCCAGGAATAGCTAGCTAGGATGCTGCAGCATTAAAGTCTGTGCTGTCTAACTGCCGCCTGAGGACTAATAGCTTTTATAATTTTTTTATCTTTTTTAATTTTAAAGAGAATAAAAAATAAATAATAGAAATGACACAAAGTGTCAATAAAAAAAAACCAAGATGTTAAGAATTCAACAATGGTTAGTATATTTCACATTGTTGTCTTCAAAGTAGTTACTCATTTTGCCAGTTATAAATATGTAAAATTGGTCAAAACAAAAATTTTAATTATTAACTGCTCCTTTCAATGAAACATTAGAAATTAGTAGTATAATTGTCATAGCTATCATGTATATATACATACATGACTTTTCGCCTTCCTTTTTTTCCTCTTTTCCCTCTTCCCAATTGTTCTTTCATTTGAGCAATTTCTTTCTCTTTCACAGCATCTGCAGTACCTTTCAGACTTTTACTCTTTCAGGTTCTTACACTAGAGAGACAATTTGATGTTTACACAGGCAGTGCTGATTTATTTCACATATGAGTATGGTCTCTAGTTGTATCCATTTACTTATGAAAGCCTCAAGTTTATCTTTTAGCTGAGTAATACTTTTCTCAGTCAAATCTGGCTAAATATCTCTCACGACCTCTGTTGCCTGTCTCTTTATTTTGATTTCCACATCTTTTTAATCCATTCCTCTGTCTGTCACTGCATCTTTGAAAAAGGGGCTAAACATGTTCACTGGAAGAAAATGGCTTCTTTAATAAATGGTGCTGGAAAAACTGGCTTTCCAGATTTTAAAACTAAAACTAGACCTATGTATATCACCAGGTTAGTAGCTTTTAAGAATGGAAGAGAGAAAAAAGACAAAGGAAAGAGACTGCTAACAAAAACTAGAAATTACAGTTGAACTAGAGGAGTTTGCTCTCTTGCAGCTACTCATCCATTCACTAATGACTGGTTGCTAATATTTTATAAAATATTATAAAAGTATAATATTTTATAAAACTTACTGAGCTTAGATTTTCCTATCTTTGCTATCTTCCAGCTACTCATCCATTCACTAGTTTGTAGTTACTAATATTTTATAAAATATTATAAAAATATATTTTATAAAAGTTACTGAACTTAGATTTTCCCAGACAATGATGGAATTACTTCAATATCAGAATAAAGAATTTGGACATAATCCTATGATTACACACATCCAATACACTTTTAGTAAGTGGTTATGACATGTCTTGAGTGAAGCTAGATTTTATCTGGAGGTTTGTAAATTTATATGAGTAAAATAAATAAATATAAATTTAGAAGGAGAAACAATGTAACTTTATTGGAAAGAGGAGAGACATGAGAAGATAGACAACTACATAACTGGAGTAAAATAGAGACCCCAGAGCAGGTGTTGGAGAGTCTGTTCTTAGCTCTTTGTAATACATAGCAAGAAAGAGACTTTCCCATTTGGCTATTTTAGGCTCCCAGATGTCTGAATGGGTAATTGACTCTCTGTGTTTACTATGTGAAAATTCTTGGGTAAGCTCCTTTTGTTTTCTCAGATAATGTCTCTGGGATTTGTAGCATAGCTTTATAGTCAAGGCCCAGTTAACAATTAGTAAAGGTATACGTATACATTTTAGTGCAGCAACATGGTAAGAGTACTATATATGTGGAAGTGTCCAGGTACAAGTGTATGATTCATATACTAGGATTGTTTCCTATAATATAGCTCCCTACTTTGTCTCCTTTGTACTTAGCCATGGAGAGGCACAAATTGGGACCCTGCCACCAAAGCAAGCCAAGATGCTTATCAGTTCTCCCTGCTTCCCTTCATTGCTCTCTCTAGCAGGGCTTTAGCTCCTTCCAGTAAGGATTTTCAAGAAACCTCACCAAGATTCTTACATTTCCCTACTCATTCACCAGATTCCCCTAACTTTTTTTATATTCTAAGTAATGTAGAATTTTAAGATAATTTGAGGGTGTTGAGAATTGAAACAAAGCTTTATGTATGTTAAATATGCATGTTGCCACCAAACTACACCTCCAACCCTTAAAACAAAATAATTTTCAAAGGTCAAGAGTGATTAGGGAGGTGATGCTAAAAGCAAACAGGAGAATGACTACAGGAGATGAGAGGAAGTTACTTATTCAAAAAGTAGAGACTGACCCAGAGAACTAA